TATATAACCTCATGGGGACACTGCTGTATATGCAGTCTATCATTGATCAAGATGTCATTATATGGTGCATGACAATGTGTATCTTAAAGATAAGCTGTCATTCTACAATTCTGTATTTGCAAAGATAGCCATCAAACATGAAGACAGTATAAAGACCTTTTTTCTTTTTTTTTTCTTTCGAGACGGAGTCTCGCTTTGTCACCCAGGCTGGAGTGCAGTGGTGCAATCGTGGCTCACTGCAACCTCCGCCTCCTGGGTTCAAGCAATTCTCCTACATCAGCCTCGCCAGTAGCTGGGATTACAGGCACCCACCACCACACCCAGATAATTTTTTGTGCTTTTTAGTAGAGATAGGGTTTCACCATGTTGGCCACACTTGTCTTGAATTCCTGACCTCAGGTAATCTGCCTGACTTAGCCTCCCAAAGTGCTGGGATTACAGGCATGAGCCACTGTGTCCAGCAGAGACATTTATAAGATATCAAGAACTGAGGGAGTTTCCAGTAGACCTGCACTTAAAGAAACACGAAAGAGATTTCTTTAAGCAAATGGAAAATTATCCCAATCAGAACCACAGAACTGCGAGAAGGAATGAAGGGCAACAGAGAGCGTAAATATGTATTTAAATCTAAAGGAACACTGGCCAGGCAAAGCAGTAATAAAACAATAAGATAAAGGAAAGGAAGTCAATGAAATTAAAATATTGTATGTTTCTAGGACTGCCTACGAAGTGGTAAAAGTACTGATTGATTTTAGGTATTATAAAAGCAAAGTCACATATTGTAATTTTCAGGGTACGTACTATGGAAAAAAATTAAAGAATATATAATTCACAAGCTAAAAGAAAAAGGATCAAATATAAAATGTTTAATAAAAAAGAAGACAATAAAGGAGAAAAAAGAACATAAAATAAGTAGGACAGATGAAAAACAAATAGTAAGATGGTAGATATAAACCCCAATTCATCAGTAACTACATTAAGTATTACTGGAAATACTTCAATTAAAAGACAAAGATGATCAAGCTGGATTTAAAAAAAATACTTGCTGCTTGCAAGAATTATAATTACTTTGAAAAACTGTTTGGCAGTACCTGTGAAAGCTGGGCATATTCACACTCCATGGCCCCAGCAATCTACTTCTAGGAATGTACTCACAAAAAGTATGCATAGAATGTTTAAAGCAGCATTACAATAGCCACAAACTAGAAACTACCCAAATACTCATCAACAGAAGAATAAATAAGTTCTTAAATAAGTCTTAAATAAAATGATTTTAAAAGTAACATTTATCAAAAGAAGCCAGACATACATCAAAGAGTACATAATATATGATTCCATGTCTATAAATTTCAAAACCAGGCAAAACTAATCGATGGTGTTAGAAGTTAGGTTAGTGATGACCTTTGGAAGGATGGTGAGCAAAAGGGGTTAATGTTCTGTTCTTCATTCCTCTGATGGTTATATGGGTATGTTTACTTTATGAAAAGTCACCAAAACATTAAAGAAAAAAGAAAAAAATTTCACCAACTTGTGTATTTATAACTTGTGCATTACATACATGTTTTATTTGAATAAAAAGTTTACTTTTTAAAAATTTATCAGGAAGGGTATCAGAATTGGCAGCAAAGTCAGTTCAGTTGTATTTTAGTACATAAGAAAGTCGGCCAGGCACGGTGGCTTATGCCTGTAATCCCAGCACTTTGGGAGGCCAAGGCGGGTGGATCACCTGAGGTCAGGGGTTGGATACCAGCCTGGCCAACATGGTGAAACCCCATCTCTACTCAAAATAAAAATTAGCCAGGCGTGGTGGCATGCACCTGTAATTTTAGCTACTCGGGAGGCTGAGGCAAGGGAATCACTTGAACCCTGGAGACAGAGGTTGCAATGAGCTGAGATTGTACCACTGCACTCCAGCCTGGGCGACAGAGTAAGACTCCATCTCAAAAAAAAAGAAAAAAAAAAAAAAAAAAAAACCATCTAAAAAAAAAAAAAAAAAAAAAAAAAAAAAAAGAAACTTAATGTGCTTCAAGAAGGAAAGGTTGAACCCACAGGAAAGAAGAGTGCCTGAAGATGTTGAATAGATGATAAATTAAGCTATTTAAGGACAAGTAAGAGCATTCATTCATTCAGTGGAATAGTTTAAGTCTTTATTACAATCCAATAAATATCTGAGCTCTTAGGAATCCAAAAATTAATAAGGCTCAGTCCCTATTTTCAGAGTGGTCACTGTCCAGGAGAGAGAGATTCGAATGATGATGTATGTAAACACTACATATTTTAAATACTTTCCTTGTACGAGTGAGGCACTGTGCTGTGCAGGTTTGCAGCATCTTACCTGATATTCACAACAATCCAGTGAGTTTGATGTTATCTCTTTTTTCCTGAGGAAACACAGGAAATAATAGAAGTTGTCCAAGGTCTCACCACCAAAATGAAAACGGAAGTCTGTCTGACTTTAAAGCCATGTTCCTGCTGGTACTTTACACTTCCAGTGGATGGTGGATGGTGAAATTACATGCAAAAGTCAAAATCAATTCTAGTGGGGATGTCTTGGAGAAGGTGGTATAGATGGCCTGAGCCTCAAAGGATGAGCAGACAGAGAATAATGTTTGATGGCCTAGAAGTGGATTTGAAGAAATAAAAGTATGTTCTCTGAATGAAGGCCAGACTTTCAAAGAAGGTGGCAGAAATGTATGATGAACCTGAGATGGCTGACGGCTATTTCTCAGGGAGAGGATCTATCTGCTCCATGTACAGACTTTCAACCAAGTGTCTTTTTTTCAGACCTTCCTCCTACAAAGTTATCTGGCATCTCCAATTCCTGACTCTTTTCTGGACTTCTTTGCTTTGTAAATGTTGGTATCATGTAATCGTATAGCCACATTGCTTTAATTTAATATTTCACAATGAACACTTTTCCCAAAGCAAAGTGCTTGTTGCAAAACATCGTATCTTTAAGCAAGCATAGCGGGAGAGTTCTAGATTCCTGCCAGAGTTAAACCCAAGGTAGTCATATGTGTAATTCAAGTGCTTATGAAACAGCTGGAAGGAAAAAGAAACTTGGATATAAAATAAATTATAGGTGGGCACAGTGGTTCTCGCCTGTAATCCCAGCACTTTGGGAGCCCAGAGTGGGAGGATTGCTGAGCTCGGGAGTTAAAGAGCAGCCTGGACAACATAGTGAGACTCTATCTCTACAAAAAAATTAAAAAATTAACCGGGTGTCATGGTGTGTACCTGTAATCCCAGCTAATCAGAAGGCAGAGGCACGAATCTCTTGAGCCTGGGAGGCAGAGGTTTCAGTGAGCCAAGATCATGCCACTGCACTCCTGCCTGGGTGACAGAGTAAGACTCTGTTCTCAAAAAAAAAAAAAAAAAAGTCTGATACAGTAAGTACAAATATAGGGGACACACTGCTTCCTTTTAAAGGCAAGACTGGTATATTGAACATCCACTTCTGCTCAACTCTCATTATCAAGAAGTTATAAGACTTTGAAGCAATCTAGCTTGGCGGCCATGTGCTCTGTGCTATATATAACAAGCTGAGGTCAGGCTGGGCGTGGTGGCTCATGCTTGTAAGCCCAGCACTTTGGGAGGCTGAGGTGGGTGGATCATGAGGTCAGGAGTTCAAGACCATCCTGGTCAACATAGTGAAACCTCGTCTCTACTAAAAATACAAAAATTAACTGGGCGTGGTGGCAGGTACCTATAATCCCAGCTACTTGGGAGGCTGAGGCAGGAGAATCGCTTGAACTGGGAGGTGGAGATTGCAGTGAGCCCAGATCGCACCACTGCACTCTAGCCAGACTCCATCTCAAAAAAAAAAAAAAAAAAGAAGTAGCTGAGGTCAGTACTGGGGACAATATTCTGAGCTTAGTAAAACTGAGAGTGTTGAATCAACTTAGATTAATGTAGCTAATTGGTAAATTCTGATCTTTGTGGTAGGGCTTGCTTCTACTTGTTTATATTAAAAATGTAATGCACAACTTAGGCTGGGCCTGGTGGCTCACGCCTGTTATTCCAGCATTTTAAGAGGCCAAGGTAGGTGGATCGCTTGTGCTCAGAAGTTTGAGACCAGCCTGAGCAACATGGCAAAATCCCATCTCTGCAAAAAATACAAAAATTAGCTGGGCATGGTGGCACATACCTGTACTCCTAGCTACAGGTATGTGCCACCATGGAGTAAACACTTGCAACCAACCCCATGGTGACCTCATCAGAACTTATGTTCATACTGAGGAAGATGAAATTTTATTCCTCATCTACCTTATACAACAAGTTGACCTCCAAATTCTTGGTTTGGCCCAGATGGATCACAGCCCAGACTTTAAACCAGTTAAGCCAAGGTGGGAGGATCCCTTGAGCCCAGGAGGCAGAAGTTGCTGTGAGCTGAGATCGTGCCACTGCACTCCAGCCTGAATGACAGCACAAGACCCTGTCTCAAAAAAAAGCAGAACTTAAACATAAAATGTCTATATAATGCTAACCAATTAAATTCTAGAGTCTAGGCTTAAAAATGTACATCTTTATAATAAACAAAAAGAGACCAAGATAGAGGTGAGGGAGATGTCCCTTTACAGCAATAGAGGAAGAGTTATAGTCCTATTTTATTGAGCTACCTCAAAGAATCTACTTTTGAAACCGTTATATGCTGCAAAGATAACCTTCAAAAAAAAGTCTCATTGGTTGTCTTCTAGATAGTTTGTTACCTTGGTAATAACACTAATTTACATGTCTGAGTTCCTAAACAACCTAAAAACTTTTATCTTTCCTCTGTAAAGTCAGAGAGAATCATTGGCACATTTCTCCTTTCCCGTATATTTAATAGAGAGAAACAAATTCCTGTTACACTGGTTGATTTCTTATTTTAATAAAGATTTAACAAAGGAAATTGCCTTTATGTGTGTGTGAAACTTTAATATCTAATGTCCTTATCTTTGGGAATTTATGTAATTCTTTTTTTCAAGTGATTTAACATAGTTTTTCTTTTTTCTACATAGACTGTCCTTCATCTGGTTGGATTCAGTTCCAAGACAGTTGTTACATTTTTCTCCAAGAAGCCATCAAAGTAGAAAGCATAGAGGATGTCAGAAATCAGTGTACGGACCATGGTAAAAGGCTTATTCTTTTTTATTTTTTCACAAATTAGTAAATAACATTCATTAATTTCTTTAAAAATTGATTTTGTCACATCACTTTTAACTGGGCCCTGAGATTTAATATACAACTTTTATTTGACAACACACAAGCTACAGGCTGTGGAATTGGGTATATATTTAATCCTGGAGTTGGAAGACAGGAGTTGGATAATACTGTCCAAAGCCGGGTCTATTTAACATGCATAGCCTATGCCAGGCACTATGCTTAAGCACAGCATATACTTTACTTGGCTTTAATTATCATAACAAACCTATCAAGTAGTGTATTATTATCATTTATTGAGAGATGAAAATTAACTTAGGTTATTTGTTCAAAGTTACACAGGAAATAATTGACAAAGCCAGGATTTTAACCTAGGTTTGTTGGATTTTAGACTTCGAGTTCTTAATCACTTAGTTCTTCTGCCTGGAAAGTGCTGAAGTCAGATTACATGGGACATGAATGAAGACCATAGTAAAGAAGAGTACATTAAGGAATAATTATAAAAAGACTGTTTGCTATAGCATACTCTCAGTGTTCTCTGGGAAATAGATTTATAACTTCACATTCTAAAATATTTTAAATAAAAATGTCTTTTTCTTGAGACAGGATCTTGCTTTGTCACCCAGGCTTGAGTGCAGTGGCGTGATCATAGCTCACTACAGCCCTGAACTCCTGGGTTCAAGTGATCCTCCCATGTCAGCCCCTTGAATAGACAGGACTACAGGCATGCACTAGCTATTTTGTTTGTTTATAGAGACAGGGTTTCACCAGGTTACCCAGACTGGTCTGAAACTCCTGGCCTCAAGTGATCCTCTTGCCTTGGCCTTCCAAGGTGCTGGGATTTACAGGTGTGAGCCACTGCATCCAACAAAAAAAAAGTCATTTTTAAAAAACTGCTTGGATGCTATTTATATATTTATGGGCTATTTTGGGCTACTGGGCCCAAAATGTATCCTTTCATTGAGCCTCTAATTATTGTGACACTTGTTAGCTCAAACTAAAACTGTGATTGACTAGCATCTTTTTAAACCCAAATATCTAACCTGGTGATATGAGAGTCCTGATTCTTTAAAGGTGCTTTTTATTATTGTTATATTCTTCAACAATATAACATTTAGAAGAATGTATCAAATTGTATTAGGGATACCTTAATCAAAATCATATACATTTATTATAGGAGGAATAAATGTAAACACAAAAGTTATTTAATCTTATTAAAGTGTCACATAGTACTTAATACATATATGTTGTTTCCCTTTGAAAAAGTCTTACCTGAACGTAGACTCTGTGAAAACAAGATGAAATTTCCAACATGCCAATATGGTTTTATTTCAAGGCAGTTGAAATAAAATAATAGCAATTTTGTTGGTCTTAAAAGATTTTTAAAACAAGTTTTCGCCTGTATTTTCTTTCCTTCCTTCCTCCCTCCCTCCCTTTCTTCCTTCCTTCTTTCCTTTCTCTCCTCTTCTCTCTTTCTCTTTTTCTTTTTCCGCTTCGATGGAGTCTCAGTCTGTTGCTTAGGCTGGAGTGCAGTGGGATGATCTCAGCTCACTGCAACTTCTACTTCCTGGGTTCAAGCAATTCTCCTGCCTCAGCCTCCTGAGTACCTGGGATTACAAGCATGCACCACTAGGCGCAGCTAATGTTTTTTGTGTTGTTTTGGTAGAGACAGGGTTTTGTCATGTTGGCCAGGCTGGTCTCAAACTCCTGACCTCAGGTGATCTACCCGCCTTAGCCTCCCAAAGTGCTGGGATTACAGGTGTGAGCCACCGTGCCTGGCCCCTACAACTATTTTCTATCCCTTCAAAAAAAACCTCAACTTATATTAGGTATACTGAGACACAAACATAATTTCAATGACATAAATCATTAGAGGCTGAGAGCCAAGGCATGTTCCTATACCCTTATTAGCTTGTATGAACCATAAGATCAAAGTTTATTGTCCAGCTCTAATATATATAAAAAGTTAATTATTTTTATGTAGCTAGTGATTTTCACTGATTCTAGAATATGCTGACTTTTTTCTCTTTAAAATAATTTCAGGAGCAGACATGATAAGCATACATAATGAAGAAGAAAATGCTTTTATATTGGATACTTTGAAAAAGCAATGGAAAGGCTCAGATGATATCCTACTGGGCATGTTTTATGACACAGATGGTAAGCGATATTTACCTCATGGGATGTGACTTTGTTCTTCTTTTTTTAATGTAGTAAAACTGATGGCTCTTCAATTCTCTAGTTCAAGTTGATGATTCCTGTGGCCTCCAGGTGTTACATTTTCAGTGTGCACCTATGATCAAACCACAGCTTGTCCCTGTATAGCTCAATGAGTTACACAGAGGAAAGCCACAGTAGATTCTTGTCTTGATTAAAATGTGGTTCTAAGGCTCGGTATTTTTGTAATATGGCATGATCTGTAAAAGTTAGCATCAGCAACTAATAGGCTAAGGATAGACTAAATTATCATGGTTTTATTAAATAAATGTATTTATCATTACTACAAACAAATATGAAGTACATATGTAAATATTTTCAAATGAAGTGGAATTACTAAGGTTACTACTAATATTTTAACTATTTTTCTTGACTTTTTCCCATGAGAATATTATACATATAGATTTTTTTGCAAAAATTGGATTATCTTCAGAACCCTCTTAATAGCTTTTGATGATTTGGCTGTACACAGGATATACTTCTCCTTCTAATTTTAATCCTACAACCAAATGTTTAGACCAGACATACCTTATTAACTTTCCACCTTTAATCCTATACCCTTTTTGGCTTTGAACACCTTTTAAAACTGTCATAATGTTGAAAATATTCCTTCATTGACAGATGCGAGTTTCAAGTGGTTTGATCATTCAAATATGACATTTGATAAGTGGACAGACCAAGATGATGGTGAGGATTTAGTTGATACCTGTGCTTTTCTGCACATCAAGACAGGTGAATGGAAAAAAGGAAATTGTGAAGTTTCTTCTGTGGAAGGAACACTATGCAAAACAGCTAGTAAGTATGACCGGAGGTGTTTTTCCATTCTAGGGGAAGCAGAGAAAGTAGGGCCAGTTTTAAAATAATTTTATTTGAGATAAGTGTGCCTCATTAAATAGAATAAGGCTGGGCATGGTGGCTCACACCCGCAATCCCAGCACTATGGTAGACTGAGGCGCTGAATTGCTTGAGTGCAGGAGTTCAAGACCAGCTTGAGTGAAAACTCATCTCTACAAAAAATACAAAAACTAGCTGGGTGTGGTGGCGTGCACCTATAGTCCCAAATATGTGGGAGGCTGAGGTGGGAGGATCAGTTGAGGCTGGGAGGTTGAGGCTGCAGTAAGCAGTGACTGAGTCATTGTACTCCAGCCTGGGCAACA